AGGGTGGAGGGACAGCACAGAAGGGGAAGACCCTCTATGAGGCGGATAGATTCAGTGACTGGGGTAATCGGGATGGGTGTGTCAGAGGCAATGCGATTGAGACAGAATAGAGCAGAGTTTAGGGCTGTTGTACATAGGGTCGCTATGAGTCGCAAACGACTCGATGGCACATAACAACAATAATCATACCCTACTTAATTATCATTGAACAACCAAAAGACATTATATTAAAATCATGTAAAAGAAAAAACCTTTTAAAAAAATCTATGTTATGCAGACAGTCTTGCTTGCTTAAAGTGAGGAAAACTTGAAGTTCTTACTGCAAAATATCAAAGAGTACAGGCTTCAATATGTGTTGCATCTCAAGATCAAGAACACAAAAGACTCATGACTGGATCAATAAGCAACATCATGAAATACAGAGGAAAAATTAAATTGTCAACTATTTCATCTTATTTGGATAGATAATCAACACCTTTGGTACCAGTAGTGAGAAGATCAGGATATGTATTCCATTGGGAAAGTCCAGGTCATGGACCCCTCTAAAGTACTGAGGAATAATGACGTCAGTTTGAAGACCAGAGTGCATCTGATTCAGGCTATAGTCTCAGACAATGCCTCTGAGCTGTATAATGAAAAAGGATGAAAGAAGAATTGATGCTTTAGAGTTGTGAATCTGGAGAAGAGTATCAAGTATCCCATGGACTGCCAAAAGAACAAACAAGTCTTAAGAAAAATGTACCCAGAATACAAATTGGAAGCAAGGATAGCAAAGCTTCATCTCATATACTTTTGGCAAGATGATAGGAAAGGCAAGTCTTCAGAAAGGAACAACATGCTTGGAAAGGTGGAAGGTCAGCAAAAAAGTTTGGGAAGACACGTGACAAGATGGATTGACACAATGACTCCAGCAATGGGTTCAACAGTGTCGGCAATAATGAGGATAGCAAAGGATATGACGGATTTCAGGTGTATTGTTTCTAGAGTCACCATGACTCATACTTGATTAAACAGCACCTAACAACAACAACAAAACTGCAACCAAAAGCAAAAAAGAATAAATAAATATTTAAGGCTCTTACTTTCAAAGACTGAAGCAAAAGGAGTGACTTATAATATAGGCAAATAACAGTTTTTTAAAAATATTGTCATTAGAATCTAACTACTAGGAAGAGAAAAGTAAAGTGCCATGCTCATACTTCACAGGCAGAGATGTCTCTTAGAAATGGACTCAGATCTACATGAGAGCAGAACACCCTAATCAGAGAACCAGAGATTGATCTGAAACATAGCTGTCTTCATATTATTATCTCATAAATGAGAGCCAAGAGCCTTCGCCCAAGCTTGCTGAAGGACTGAAGATAAATACTATAATCAGCAGGACATCAAGAAGGCAAAACAAAGGGAAGAAATGAAGTTAAGAGTTTAACAGAAGATTTCAAAGGGTAGTTCAGAAAGACAACCCAAATTATTATAATAAAATGTGCAAAAAGCAGGGGTCAGAAAATAAAAATGGAAGAACACATTCTGCATTTCTCAAACTGAAGGAACTGAAGAAAAATTTCAGACCTTGAGCTACAATACTGAAAGATGATATGGGCAAAATCCTGGATGATCCAGGAAACATCAAAAGAAGATGAAAAGAATACACACAGTCACTGTATCAAAAAGAATTGTCTGACACAGAATCATTTCAAGTAGCATATGTAAGTGAACTAAGTCCCATAACGACAAATACTATATAAGATCATTATTGTAGAACATGTATGAGGATCCAAGGGGGAAATGCAGGAGCATACAAGTAAGGATGGGTCAGGGCAGGAAGGGGGAAGGACGTGGTTAATTATAGTGTCACACAATTTGATGGGTGGAGGGCAGGGTAGGCAAAGCATGTGGGAAAATTCAGTGTGAAAAACAATGTATACGAACTTTGTAAGTAAACCAGTATAAAATATTAATTTTACTAAAAAAAAAAGAGCAGCATATGCTCAAGAACCAATTGTGATAAAGGAAGAAGTTCAAGCTACGCTGAAGGAAAGGGCAAAAATAAGGCCCCAGGAATGGACTGAATACCAATTGAAATATTTCAACAAACAGCTGCTGCCCTCAATGTGTTCACCAGTTTGTGCCAAGAAATCTGGAGGACAACAACCAAGCCAACTGACCCAAAGAGATTGATTATTTATTCCCATTCCAAAAACGGTGATCCAAGAGTGCAAACATTATCAAATAATATTACTATTATCACATACACCTAAATCTAACTGAAGATGAGTTTATTAACAGAGAACTTCCAGAGATACAAACTAGTTTTAGAAGAGGCCATGACACAAGGAATATCACTGCTGATGCTAGATTGATCATGGCAGAAAGTACAGAGTATCAAAAGAATGCTTGTGTTCTATTAACTATGTATGGGAATTGAACTGTGTGGATCACACCACACTGTAACTAACACTGAGAGGAATGAGAATCCCAAACACCTGACTGGGCTAATGCAAAACCTGATTTGGCTCATTATATCAAGAAGTTGTAGTTTGAACAGTGTTCGTGAACCCTGCGTGGTTCAAAATAAAGAAAGGAGTGTGTCAGGGATGTATCTTTTCTCCATACTTTTTCAATTTACATGCTGAAGAAAGGAAGCTGGACTTCATAAAGAAGAATGCAGCATCAGGATTGGAAGAAGGCTCATCAACAACTTGTATTATGCAGATTATATAACCTTACTCATCGAAACTGAGAAACTGAAGTGTTTGCTGCAAAGATCAAGGACTACAGACTTCAATATGAACTGCATTTCAGCATAAAGAAAACAAAGATCCTGATCACTGACCCAATCAGCATTATAGATGGAGAAAAGATTGAAACTATCAGTGACTTCATCTTACTTGGATCCATAACCAACACCATTAGCCTCAGCTGTCAGGAAATCAAATGATGAGATGCTTTGGGAAAATATGCTGTTGTGGATCTCTCCAGAGCAATAATGTCACTCTAGAGACTAAGCTTTGCCTGATACAGGCCAAAGTATTTTCCACTGCTTGCTGTGCATCTGAGAGCTGAACAATGAATAAAAATGACATTATGCTGAGTGAAATATCTCAGTCACAAAGGACAAATACTACATAGTGCCATAATTGTAGAACAGGACTGACATCAGGATTGGGATGAGACAGAGAAAAATTGGATAAATTATGTATACTTCATTGAAACAGATAAGGGAGAGAACAGTTTAAAAGTGATATATGATTGGGTATTATGGTTATGATAAGAATCCATGGTGATGGTTATGATAGGAATGAAGGTTGCATATTGGAGTATACGGAGCGGGGGTTGGGGAGGATTATATACTAATGAAGGAATTTTTCTTTTACTTTTCAAGGAAAGGAGTGAACTGGAGGGGAGGGGTGGGCAAGGAGAAAAGTGCAACAATGAATGAATGGAAATCCAAAATCTCTGTAAATGTTCATTGTTGTTGTTGTTGTTAAATGCCAGTCCTTGGAGAAGGACAGCATGCTTGGAAAGGTGGAGGATTAGTGCAGGAGAGAAGACCATGCCTGGGATGGATTGACACAGTGACTGTAATAGGGTCAGGTATCTCAGACACAGTGAAGGTGGCTCAGGATAGACCAAGGTTCAGAGCCACTGCTCATAAGATTGTTAAAAGTCGTAAGTGATTTGACAGCATGTAACAACAATTGTAATTAATGTTAGCAATGTATATGATCAAATAAAACTGTAATTACAATGTAAAATAAAATATCTATAAATGTTAGAATGAAAGGCAAAATAAGCTCAAAGAACTAAGAATTTATTTACAACTTAAATAAAGAAATTAGAAGCATATATATAACTTAGTAGTTAAATAAAAATGATTACCCAAAAGCAAAATGGCCTTCCCCAACTCTACTTCATCATTAATAAATAAAAATAAATTTCTAAATCACATTAAACAATATATTTACATTTTTTTGTCTGTTCTGTAGATCTAGCACAGGTTTCTTTGAGTAAATTGCACAAATGCCTCGTAGCATTATTCCTGAAACAAAGGAAAAGAGTTTTTCTAAACACAATCTAATCTCAAAATCACAATCATAAATTAAACTTACAAAATGTACAACTAAAATTTAAACTTTTGAAGTAACTTTAAAATATTCGGATGTCTGGTATATATCAGGTATTGGTCACAAATAACAGTATGAACAAAAAGTTCATTGCTATACTACTTGTAAAGATGACTTAAATGGCCTCTTTTTAAATGTAAAAATGATAGTTCCTTAACAAGTTTTACCCAAGTAGCTAAAAATAACCTTTTAGTGAACAACTCCAGATTTGTTTAAAGAAAAGCAATGAGAAGACAAGATTGGGATTTTCATTTATAAATTATCTTGGAAAGATTCTAAACTTTAAAACACAAAATGAGGTAATTTTCTGACTGTCCAACCATTGTACAATCAAGCCTGGCATTATTTTCTCTACTGGGAAATAGGAGTAGAGAAAATGGTACCCAAACTATGATTGTTGGGCCAACAGCATCAACTCATCTCGATATAAAGGCAAAAGTCCTGAGCTAGGCTCCAGCTGAATAAGAAAATGGGGACGGGGAAACAGCAAGGAAGTAGACGGCCATAATGACTGTTGCCAAATGAAATAATGTAAAAAGGACATTTTCTCCCTTTTTTCCACAGAATCTAGATAGAATTCTACTCACAATATTATAAAACAAACAGAAAGTGTTTAGTAAATTTATGGTAAAAGAATAAATAAACTACTTACTCTTTTATTAAATCTTTATTCTCTTGAATTCCTTCTTCTAATTTCAAACTAACTTTTTCATTTTCAAACTAATTTATAAAACAGAAAAAAACAGTCACCATATTTGGCTTAGCAAAACAAACATGAGTATAATATTTAAACAGCATTTCTTTGCTAATGTTATGATAGTCTATAAGAATCCTTCACTTGCCAAACCTAAAGGGCCATTTTTGTTGGTATTTAGGGATTTCTCACAATAACATGGATCTCATTGTTATCAATCTAAAATAAAGTCTTCAGAATCATTTTGAAAAAGCATTCAACAGTACTTTGAAGTAAATTTTTCTAAATATATTTCTAACAAATATAGCAGGAATATCAGCAACATGAACAGGTTCTATACACATTGTCAGGATGAAACAGTTAATCCAAAAAAGGCATCATGCTGGGAAAGGTAGAGAGGATCAATGAAAGAGGAAGATCCTCCACAAAACAGACTAACACAGCGATTGTAACAATGAGTTTATATTTTTTTTTATTTTGGGTAAGGGATTTTTTTTTAATTTTGGGTAACAATGAGTTTGAACAAGGTGAGATTTTAACCATATCACAGGATAAGTAGGGTAAGGTTCAGATCTTTTATTTATAGAATCACTATTAGTCATGGTTGACTTGACAACCCCTAACAACAACATACACATGCATCATCAAACAGAATGTACAATAATCCAATCACCTATATATGTAGAAAAAAGAAATAGAGGTAGCTCTGTTGGCCTAGAGGCAAGAATCTGTGCTGCAATCCTGAAGGACCAGAGTTTGGATCCACCAAACACTCTGTAGAGGGAGGAGAAATCTCCTCCTGTGCTAGTGAGATCTGATTCAATGATACAACAAGAATTAAAAAAAAAAAAAAGAAAAGAAATGGAGATGCTCAAATAACATCAAGTCAGAACAAGTCCAAAGGTTAACTGTGGAGTATCTCACCAGCTGTCTAAATATGCAAGTGCAAGCTTATGGTGAAGAAAATTTTAAAAGTCCACAATGCCAAGTAAAATAACTTTGAGGATATCCCATCTGAAATCAAGATGCCATCTCAAGCTAAATTTGAGATACAAAACACTAATTATCAAAGAACAGATGAGTTCTGGAATGCGATCAAGGTTGCCATCAAAAAAAGAAAGGGGAAAAAAAGTCATTACAAAGACAAAAAAGACCAAAATGGATATTGGAAGAGACTCTGAAACTTGGCTATCGAATACTGAGCAACTAAAGCAAATGGAAGAAATGATGAAATAAATTAGATGAATAGAAGATTGCAAAGGATAACTCAAGATGGCAAAATAAAGTATTATAATGAAAATGAGCAAAATTAGAACCACAAAGGAAAGAGTATGGTCAACATTTTTTAAATTTTTTTTTCATGCTCAACATTTTACAAGCTGAAAAAATTGATAAATACTTGCAATACTGGAAGATTTCACAAGTAAAATATTGAATGATAGATTCTGGAAGTATCATAAGTAAATAAACAGACAAAGTTATGGTATCTAATAAAAATTAGTCAATACTGAACCTTAAAAAGTCATACATGAAGGGAGCTCTGGTAGCCTAATGGCAAAAAACTGTGCTGCAAAAGGGCCAGATGCTCTGCTCAAGAAGGAGGGCAATGTCCTCCTGCATTAGTCGTATCCGACTCAATAATGCACAACAAAAAGGGAAAAAAATAGTCATACATGATCAAGACTCAATGGTATTAAAAGAAGTCCAAGCTGCACTGAAGGAACTGCCATCAAAACAAAGCTGCGACAACCATGAGATATCATCTCACTCCAGGAAGACTAGCAAAATTTAACAGAACAGCAAGCAACAAATGCTGGCGAGGTTGTGGAGAGACTGGCACCCTTATTCACTGTTGGTGGGAGTGTAAAATGGTGCAACCACT